CAGTATTTTAAAATCTACAAAAGTAATTTGTCCACAAACAGAATAGTTAGTCAAGTTATTACGAAATTTTAAGAAAATCGTCAGGTCACTATCCTTCAATAAAAACGTTGCTGCGAAATATCGTGATCGACCAGCATTTGCTGGGTGTAGAGCTATCTTCCTTAATCGTCAATATTACTTTTTACTAAGCGAAACATTAAAAATCAGATTTTTGGAGTGTAATGTCTTTATATGTATCCAAGTCGGAATGATGACGGCATATTTACGAAAGTGATTGGCTATTTGTATACAGTAATTTATGGGAATTTTGTCTCCAACCAAACGCGATACAAGAAAGTAATAATTTTCTTATCTGAAGACACAGAAAGTCGTTCTTTTGATTTTAATTCATAGTACTCCTACATGGATTAATAAGGTAAGTTTGCATATAGCGTTTATTTCCGATGTGCTCGATTTAGTATTCAATATCGCTTTATTTCATATTAAAGTTTTATCTTCTTAAATATGCAAATTACTGACTATCCGCTCTTGGAAAAGCATAAATCTTATAAATACTTAAATATATAAACCTTAGCTGCACGTCTTGTTTCTTAATTTTATAATATTTCATATGGCGTAAGTAAGATATTCTGTTATCAAGTGTATTTTAACATACCGAAGTCCATACAATGGTGCTAGCGTCTATGATTTCTCATACAATCCTGCGAATGATTGATATGACATTGCTTTTTCATTGTGTATTTTATTTGTACAGTAGCATACTATTGAAATTATTTTAATCTGCAAATAAACTTCTTTGGAACGATATTCTTTTATAACATGTGATATATGACGTCATCATATATTGTGCATTAAGTTCCATATAAACAACATTGTGATTTTCCTTTGAGTTCTCTTATCTTGACAATGCTAACAGGACACAAACAATTATGACGTATTTCTGTATTCATTGGGAGTAATTAACACCATTGAATTAGGTACATATGTACTACAACTTTCTAATACATTTGTAGAATAGTTGCTTGCATCGTGTTTAACGCCATGTCAGCACAATAATGACTATACAGTGTAGATTATGATCTAAAACCGCCCTAAGCTTGGAGAAAACAAATCCTACCAAACAAACGTTAACATGTGGTTCTTTGAGGTAAAAAACAAAAGGTAAACCTGTTAAAATTCTCGAAAAGGTATAATAAATAATACATAAGATAAAAAAAATCATTATCATATAGGATCAAAATTTTGTTACCTACATAAATGTCTGCATGTTTGAATTGAGTTTACGTTACAAAATGTCCATCTCTTTCGCCTATTTGTTTGCTATTGTCAGCGGACACAAGCATGATATGTAATCATACCCAGGTTAATCAATCAGGAGTTATTTATATGTTAGGTATTTATGATGGCTAAAATACCATCTCATCTCTAAGATTTTTTTCTATACGAATGATGCCACATTCCAATGACGGGTTTAATGTTACAAAGCTTTTTTGTTAAGTCTTCTTTCCACAAATTTTGGCAAGTATGTACAACTTGCCAAGTTATATAATATCTAAGTAAATATCAGTGACTGTGGTGCAGCTTAGGCTACGATATTAGTCATTTCTTTTCCATTAATACCAAGGCAACGTCCCTGGGATCTAGCATTAGTTAGTTAGACCTCTTCATCCTGTCTGGGACATAAGACTGCAATTATCTTTCGCCATATAGTTTGGTCTTAAGCAATGACTTGTGCTTCTTCCCAGGAAAGTCCCATCACTTTCAGCTTTGTCATCATTGTTCTTTCTTGTTCTTCGACAGGTTGTCTTTGGCCGTCCACATTTACACTTTCCAAATGTTGTCCATTTGAGGTCTACCCTAAGGTATCCGTTCTTGGGGCATCCTTATCAACGTGTCTAAGTCAATTTATCCTGATCAAATTGATCTCCAGGAAGATGTTGCTACATCCATATAGGTTCACATTGGAGATCTTGTTTAGCCAATATATGTTGCAGATTTTACTGTCAACATTACAAAACCCTTTTTGTTTCTCCAACTTACATCAGCAGATAATGTTGCAGCACGATTTGGAATATTCTCGGGTTGTCAATATGGGAAAGGAATCGTAAAGATGATGATATTTGTTTGCCCAGAGGTTTCAGTTTAGTTTAATTGTCTGAGTATAGTTTAATTTTAATGCAATCTACAAGAGATCGTACCGTAGTATGTTACAACCCTGTCTCCTGACAGTCCGTATGCAGGATGTATAGCCAGGGCCGTCGCACATTTGGACAGGATGAAATGACTCTCCTTGGCAAGCGTCGCATTCTCCCTCACCCACTAATAATAAATACCGAAATCTCCACGATATGGCCCATCTCTTCCGACACCCCAGTTAGTCAACATTAAGAGCCATCAGTTTCGTGCAAGTTACTCTGAAAACCGATAGTATTTGTTGAATTTGGCAAAGATAATTTGTTTTGGATTATTTGCGAGGGAGTATAGACAAGGTAGTGACTGGCATGTAAAGAAATTGGCAGTCTTGGCACAACTGATGTTTTCTGCTTCTGGGTGAGGAATAATTTGTATAACAAATGTTGGAATGCAATTTGATTTCTAGGCTTACACAGATTTGTATTTCGACCTAAAGATGTCATCGTATGAGGGATTTGGGCTTGCAAAGATTCATAATTTGGTCTAAAGACAACATCACATCAGTGACTTTAGATTGCAAAGTTTCGTATTTAGGCCTAAAGACGATGTTATATGCGAGATTTGGGCTTACAAAGTTTTGTGTTTGGGACTAAAGACAACATCATATGCGGGATCTGGGTTTACAAAGATTCGTATTTGGGCCATTAAACAAAACATATGCCGGATTTGAGCTACAAAGTTTCCTATGCGTCAAAAGACGACATCATATGCTGATATGGTTTTATAAAATTTTGTATTTGGGTCTAAAGACGACATCATGTGCGGAATTTGAGTGACATAGTTTCCTATTTGGGCCCAAAGACGACATCATATCATAGATTTGGGCTTATAAATTTTCACATTTGGGCCTAATGACAACATTATAATGGGAATTTAGGCTTACAAAGTTTTCGTATTTAGACCTATAGACGACAATATATGCGGAATGTGATCACTGGGCTTACCCACGTTACGTATTGGGATCTAGAAACGTAAGTTGGGATTGGGCTTGCAAAGTTTCATATTGGGGCCAAAAGACAACACCATATGGGAATTTGATTTCTGGGCTTGCTAAAACTTGAATTGGTGCCCAAAAGACTACATCATATGTAGAAATTTGGTTAACAACTGATTGTAATGGGGCCTAAAAGAGACATCATATGTGGGATTGGGACTAACTAACAAAGTTTCCTGTCTGTGCGTAAAGACGACATCATACAAGGGATTAGGGCTTAAAAATTCGTATTTTCTCCTACAAACGATATCATATGCGGGATATGATTTCTGGGCTCTTAAAGTTTCAAATTTGTGCCCAAAAACGACATCGTGTGCGGGATTTGGGCTTTAAAAGTTTCGTATTTGAGCCTAATTACATCATCATATCAGGAATTTGTGGGTTACAAAGATTTATATAAGGGCAAAAAGATGACATCATATGCCAGATTTGGACTTAACAAATTTTCTTATTTCTTTCTAAAAATGACATGAGATACGGGATTTGGGATTAGACAGTTTCGTATTTATGCCTAAAGAAGATTTCATATGCGGGAACAAACTATCAAGAGTCCTAACGATTGGGAAATGTATAAGATCCTTTGAAGTCACAACGCTATGAGAGAGTTAGTTACCTCAACGACTTATTAACGACCATATCTACTATAGCTAACACAAAGTTAAGATTTTGTAACATTCTTGAGCAATATATTTTGGATTTAAGATATGCACCTTTTAATTTTTAAAGGAAGGCCAGGGGATGATCTGGAACAAAAAAATCCGTTGCTTTGATTTGTAGGAAAATTGCGCTATCTACCCCCATACAGTTAATAATAATAATAATAATAATAATAATAATAATAATAATAATAATAATAATAATAATAATAATAATAATAATAATAATAATAAATATTGGAACTCATAAAGCAAGAGGTTATTGTATAGTTAGTAAACAAATACCCACATTTATATTTATGAGGGTAGTAATCCATTATAGTGAAAGTGAGATTACTGTTTACCATGAATCCTGAGAACTGCAGTCGTTATACCTGTTTTTAAAATAGGCGACAGAAGTTATTCTCTCTGTTATAGACCCAACATTATTCTTGAGTTGTGTGGCTCAAATTTTGGAAAGGGTCATATTTAACAATTTATATAGCATATTCCTGACTTCTCATTTTACCGCGCACCAGTTAATTTATATTTATAATCAAATTTGTTTGCACACACACACACACAGACACACACACACACGAGTAGAGTTTGCTTATCGTACTGAAACTACCTTGTATTGCAGCGAGAAGTTCCGAATATATACGTTATCGTGATTACAATAGCATCAAAATTATGTTACAAGCACCGCCCTATTACAGCAACAAATATTTCTGACTGGTGTTCCTGTGATAGTCGTAGTAGTTGCGATTCTCGTCTCACCCATATAAACATACACACGTTTATATTTCATAAATAGCGTTGTTCGCATGGTAATTTCATCGCAGCTGTTCTTCTCCTCAATATGTTTTTAGCGTTAGTAATTCTGATGTTGTATTATAATTCTTCTATTAATAACGTGATCATAAAATATAATAGCTTGCCTTGTGGCTGTGAAACACGCATGCGTATTTTTCTAATACAATTGCGATACAATCACACAACTGCCTGCTCTAAATGATACCGGTCATGATATTGCTGTTACGTTAGCGAATCTACCGTGGAATAAATATACTCACGAGAAACATATACCCAATAAAATTATTGCGGACACAGAACATGGTTATTATTCGACTTAATTCTAAAACTCGGAAAAGAACTTTTTTAAACCTTCCTGGACCGATCCGGTGGCCTAAAGGTTAGAACGTCCGCCTTAGATCCGGTAGGTCTCGGGTTCGAACCTCGGCCGAGTCACACCAAAGATTTTAAAAAAATAGTACTAACAGCTGTCTCGCTTGGCGCTCAGAATTAATAGGCTAGTGTTAGGACTAGTTGGTCTGGTGTCAGGATAATGTGACTGGGTGGGACATCATGCTACATGTCTGCGGCATGATGCTCCTATGCTAGATATCACTGTAAACTGTCACACCGCAGACATCGTAGAAATATGACTGAAAAATTATTAAAGCTACATTAAAATCTCTCTCTCTCTCTCACACACACACACAACACACACACAACCTGCATCGATGCTGCACTTCATCTCTAGTGCAAAGTATTCAGCTATATCCGTGATCTTATGCGTGATTTGAAAGCGTCAGGTGTCGTATAAAGAATCGTCCGTTGGATCATAAAATAAGGTCAACATTGCACTTGATGTTCGCAAGTGCGCCACTCATTGTAGGTAAAACTTTAACACAACAAACTTCAAACATGCATGAATAAAAACTTTCTAAACATACGAGTCACTGAGGTTATACTATAAGCACAACATCTGGCTGAACTCTAAACGAAAGCATCTATTATTTTTTTTTAAAAATCTGTTTCAATAAAAGCTGTTTTAGATGCTAACATAAGTTTTCCTGCCTGAGCTGAACTTTATTCTCAACCAAAGTTAATAAAGTAAGCAAAATAGTCCATACCATCTTGTAAATTCAGAGTAATATAGTACTGTTCTAAACAAATAAAGTTTTTACCTTTGCTGAAATTCTTTTTTTTCACCAGTAAAAAGGCAAATGTATTTATAAATGGATATCTTGACAAATATTGAAGGTTTGGAATATGTGTTGGGCCTAGTGGCAACTAGCTAAACGAATCTATCGGCATAATACGTACCTACAAGCTGGATAGATCGTATTAATTTAAAAATGTTGTTTCTGATTAAACGATCTCGTTATGGTAAATCAGAGGTAATATAACGACAGTCTTTTTATGTCTTATTGTTGCCACCAGCGGTAATTATAAATGCAGGTCAAAAATTAGACGAAGAGCCCTCAGTTTCAATAGGAGTCATTTTAGTAACTTTAATAGCATGACTCATCAAAGACAATTTCTGTTTGATCTTTGACTAAATGTTTTATAATCAAATGTAATGGCAGATCTGTAGATTTTATTTACATACATAATTTTATGTTTAAGGTATTGCATTCTTTTATGCATATGAAATAGGACAAGTTATATTCTGCATACGCGTGAGATTGATGAGAAGAACATAAAATTTACATCAGTGTTGGTGGCCTAAATTCTTTAGAATTCTGTCTATCCTGATTTAACTTGAAATAGTGACAATAGAAGCAAGTTTATATCTTTGTAATCACTGAAATCGATTTAATAGATTTTAATGAATATTAAATAATATTGGTTAAATTAGTAAATGTAGTTTCTTTTTTCATTTTCGATATAGAAATTTGATTCCTACTAGTTCCAAACATTGTCCGCCGCATAGTTTATCACTTGCATGTTTTATATGTTGAGATTAATAAATGTCAGCCAGTCTGTTTTCTTTCTGTAATGCTTCTTGATAAACTGGTTCTTCCGAGTAGATTGAAAATTATTAGCGTGAAGTTAAATTATGGCTTAAATATGAAAAAGTGACTGTATATTTTTTTTATGAAATTGTATGCAACGTTACTGAAGTCAACTGTGGACAAAATGTAGAAAACTAATGTTAAGCAATGAAATACGTCTGCTAATTATCAGTCTGTTGTGTTTGTGGACACGATGAAATGTAATACCTTCCCACAAACATAATTAACTCGGGAATTATACATTAGTATCACTGGAACAGATGGGTATGATTCTGCGCTGGATCGATTCAAGATGTCGAAAAATACATTTAAATGCCGATAAAATAAATAGCAAATTGAAAGTGCAAATTTTAACTTTTACAGTAGTTTTTATTTGCCTCTAATTGTCATGACCAAGATTTTAAAATATAAAATCCAACGTAACAAACATAGTGTTACTTTAAAATTAAGCAACATTTCAATATTTCTTGCCGGAGAAGAAAACAAATGGAGACAATACAATTGTCTAGCACGTGCTCAAACTTTGTTATTTTCTGGGACCAATAATTATATATCAAGCATTGATAGCTGACTGTAATAGATGCACCTTAATATTATTGGGGAGATCTTTCATTTGCCAACACTGATATTGAACGTGTAAGCATATTGTATTGTCAATAATCCAATTAAAGTCAAAGGAATAAGAATTAAAAAAAACTACGGGAATATATTAGATTCTCTCTGCAATATTACATTATATTATTTTCTATCGGACTGGAAAAATCAATTACAAAACTTTCATAAAACGTCTTTTGTATAAACATATGAACACTGACTTTAACCTCGAAGATTCTTTCTTCAAATTATTATTTAACTATAGACATAGATCATTTATGACAAAACCTTAAGTGTCTTCTCCTAATCTGAAAATTGAGACTGTGAGGCATTTAATTGAGAGAAGTTAAAAGGAGGGTGAGCTGTATGACCAGCATGATAATGAATATGCATATTATTATCCAGTACATATAACCTAAGGTGTAGACTTAATTAAAACGTACTTCGGGAACAAACCATCCATGTATGAATGAGTGTGGCAGTTTATAGTGATGTAGCAATGGGGCATCATGCAGCAGACATGCATCACGATGTCCCATCTAATCACATTATCCTGACATCAGGCAAACCAGTCCTAGCACAAACCTCTTAATGCTCTGCACTTAGCGAGGCAGCTGTTAGTACAATTTTTATGTCTTTGGTATGACAGAGCCATTGTTCGAACCCACGACATCCCGCATCTGAGGCAGACGAGCTAACCACTAGACCAACGGAGCGGTACTACGAAAGAATTGAAGGGCGAGTCGACAGAGTAATCAACACAACATAATTACAATTTGATTTTACTATCATCATCATTATTATTATCATTATCGTCATAAATATCATTATTATAATGATATTGCTGAAGCAAAATATCTGTAATGTAATTCACCGACCATGTACTTTTCGAGGGCTTGATGTTTTTGTGCAAGATGTGATCCTCAAAATGCTTGACACAAAGTACTCTGCTTTGACATGTGAACAATCTAAATCTGTTGTATTATGTTGGAATTTTGTTATTATTTTGAATTATAGGTAAAATAGAATCTTCGTCTGATCATCATATAGTAGATCCATAGCTCTCAGTAGTAAGTCAAAATTGTCTGTTTACGTGTACTATATGGAAAATAGATAGAAACTATATAATTGCATTCCTTTCAACTTATTAGTTTGGCAGGTGATTTAGAAAGGGATGTATTAAGATTTGTCAGTTTCGATTCGCTATCTGGCGAATCTGTGGTTGCAAGTATTTATTGTTGAGGAAGGAGATTCACATTGGACAATAAATCTCCGATTAGCAGTCACGTGATTTCCTTGCCAAGTACCAAATAAACGTCGGAAATTTACTTCATCTCCATTATCTGCTGCAGATGACAATGTCTTTCAATTGGTCCACTGGGCAAGGATAATGCGATTGAGTGGGACATCAAACTACATATTACTGGCATGATGCCCCAGTGCTAGACATCACAGTAAACTGCCACACTACCGATATCTTAGCGATAGGACAGAAACTTTTTTAAACGCTAAGAAAAAAATCTCTCACACACATACACACATACACACACGCACACACGCACACACACACTGAATCAAGCATCATATAATTATTTTGCCCGTCTCTGTAATCATAAGGATAATATTTTTTTGTAAATTAACATGACAACACCGGTATCACTGCCGCTAGCTGTCTTCAGTACACAATTAGGACCTTTAGTGTAGCATTTAACGTTTAACGCTCAATTTGAAGCTGCTGTTATTTTCAATGGTGTCTTGTGAAGTTAAAGTTGCATCAGTGTTCACAACACGCGAGTTTTGATTTGGACCCTCAGTTTTCTTCAGGAATTCTGATAAAATAATTCCTCATTATGCATCAATATTAAATAGCATGGCGTTGGAAAATTAGTTAAGGAAACAAAGGAATCAAAATGTGTATACCTGAAAATTAAAACTAAGCATAATCAAATCACACAAAGCCATATACAATTCTAAGTTAGTAAACTTATTATAAAATACAGACAAAACCTTTATTATATACGTTTCTTGAACAAGAAAGCTAGTGTTTTGTAGCAGGCCCAGCCCTGGGATATTCAGGGCCCAAGGCAGCATACGGGGCTCAAGGCAGGAAAAGCAACGAGCGGGACCCCAAGCAAAAATTGCATTGAAGAGTTGATATCTCGAAAGCACGAGACCCAAGACGGTTGTCTCGCTCGCCTGGCCATATGGTATGGCCTGCCTTGTAGATATATAGTGATCGATCGATAATCAGTATGCTAGAAATATGCATTCGGCAAGTGTGCTATTGTACAAAGCGAAAAGTACAAATGCAACGGGTGGTAATGTTTTCATGACATATTTTGTGCTGTGTAGGAGACATCACAAACCTTATTTGATTTGCATATATTGTTTTCCTCTCATGTATATATATATATATATATATATATATATATATATATATATATATATATATATATATATATATATATATATATATATATATATATATATATATATATGTATATATCTGTATATATATGTATATATATGTATATATATGTATATATATATATATATATATATATATATATATATATATATATATATATATATATATATGTATATATATGTATATATATATATATATATATATATATATATATATATATATGGACACACACACATAATTAAGCGCCTTCCACCCCAATCAAAAACAGAAATATTTTTTATATTTGCAGAATAATAATACACTTATTTATTCCACTGGAATTACATAATTTTGCGACTTGAGTGATTTCTCATGTTGAATGAAACACTGAAACTTCTTGCCTATCGATATGCCTTATGTATTCTGGCAACGGCACAACATTATCT